GAGTGAGGGGAAGGAAATAAATGTGAATCTTGAAAGCAAAATTGATTGGAAAGGCTGCATTTGTAAGTAAAGTGGGTTATAAAACTGGAGCTGACAGAGGCTTTTAAAAAGCTTGTGCTAACTTCTGATTTAGTGTTTTGTGTCTTGGAGGATCAGAGCTGGAGAGCTGAATGCATTGCCTGTCGCAGTGTTGCGTGTGTTTAAAAATAGCCATAGACCAGCCTCCAAGATGCCAATACATAATGGGCAGAAATCCCTGTTTTTCAAAACCTAAGTGAGGCTGAATGAAAACCATAAAAAGGGTACTGTGCCCCACACAAGCCATGAAACTGGAGATGGGGAAATGCTGCATGACTTGGCTATGGATTATCTGGGGCAGCATCAGTAGCAGAGGCAGCCAAGAAACCCAAACAAGTTGGTCTGCCAGTGGGAATGGACAGTTTCCATTGCAAGTTGTGGATTATCTGAGAGTAGTTGTAGATTGGCATGCGTCCTGAACAAAAGCAGGGCTTTGTACTTTACCAAAGTTTGGCACTGTTCCACACGAGATAAGGACTTTTATCCTAAATTTTGACATTTTTAATGTTGAAGATGGCTTCAGATCTAAGTAGAAAAAAAAATTCCTTTCTGGCAGGTGTATCAAACCCATCCTTTGAGCAGAGCTGTAGCACTAAGCCTTGCTTTGTTTTGGTATGGTGATACCAAAGGGCAGAAGTGGCAGTGCATGGTTACCAGTCATGTCAGCTTGGCTGTTTTCCAAGGGAAATTTTTTTCTCTCTGCATAATAACTTTTTGCAGGCATGAAGGACTAAGGGAATGGGTACGTTAATTCCCCACATACTGTTTGCTGTACCCATCTGCCTGCAGCTCTAATATCATGCTTGTTAAAGAAGTCCCAGATCAATTCCATGAAGAGAAGTGGGGTGGGCTGCCCTGAACTTCTGGAGCCATAATAATGTGTAGGCCAACAATGGGCCCAGTGTTCTTTCAGCTGATGATTAAACACTTGACTCATAAATACCAATATTATGTAATTCTGAAATCAAGTCAGCAAATTGTGGCTGTATGGGAGGCTCCCTGTTTGGGAAGATTTAAGTCTTCCAAAGTCAGTCTGAAGAACAAAATAGGCTTCTCATCAAGAGTTGGTGAGAGCAGTGGTAGTGACTTAATCCTCTGTCTCTCCTCATGCCCTTCACCTCCTAGTCTGAGATTAAAAGCGTGATCCAAAGAGCTGTGGTGTTATGTGAGTAGACCCAAGACCGTTGTGTTTGCTTGAGCCCTGGCCGTCAGCTGTGCTGCCTCTTTGGAGCTCATTGCCTCATTAGTGTGATGGGCAGTGATTGCAGGTAGGGGACCAGAAGGATGTCATTTTAACAGATGCTCAGTACATCCAGTCATCTGCATCTCAGTGGATTGTGGGAGCTTTTCAGCACGTGTGGTATGCTCCTGACACGGTGTGTCCCAGTCTCATCTGGGTGTAAAAACCATGCCAAGACTACAGCATTTAGAGGGAACTTGGACCTTCTTTCCATGTCCTCTGCTCTAAAGGAGGCATGACAAATATTTTTATGTTCCTATCTGAGGTGACAGGAGGTTTAATTAGTGCTAAGAGCTCTGACAAGTTAAAGTTGTAATTATGGGTACCAAAGGCTTTTAATTTTCTGGGTAAATTGAAATCTGACACAGTGGTTACTAGGAGGAAGATGCTGTGCTGGCTACTTGCAAGTGCAGTTGATGTGATACATTCATACCTGTTGTTCAGAGCGGCTACCAATGGGCAGTGCCTCAGAGCATACAGAAATAAAATTGTTGTGTGTGTTGAGGCATACAAGATCTTTCTCCAGCAGTCATGTGCCCAAGAGCTTCCCTTGCTTTTGTAATACCAACATTTACTGTTGGTAATTACAAAAAATTACCAGTTTAAATAACTCTTGGTATTTTATCATCCAGATGTGGACAGAAACAACCATATGGAATATCTTGTAAAAATAATGAAGCGTGAGAACAGGTAGTTGAGAAAACAAAGCTACGACTGTCTTTCATCATTCCTTGGTGGAAATGACATTGTCATGAGCTTCCATTTTAGCTTCTATGTGGAGTGTGGAAGGTCCTGTAGTTTATTTTTCTCCTTTCAAGGAGGAAGACAGAACTTTTTGCTGAACAGAAGGGCTTGAAAGCAGTGCAGCCTAGTGATCAGAGAAGTCCTGCAACTTGGATTCTTCTAACTGTAGCGTATGCCCTTGTGCAAGTCACTAAGTGTTGTGGAGCCCAGCTTCCCACCTCCTCAGGGGAGCCAGAGGCTTTGTTCATCTGAGGTGTGACTTCCTGCAATATCCTGCTCTTAAATAAACTGAGATGACCTTTTCCTTCTGCTTCCATTTTTAGTATGTTGAGGAACACCTTCAGAAACATCACGCTGATGAATTTGCACTGCGCTGGCTGTTGGAGCTCTTTGGGCAGCGTTAGCAGGAAAGCGAAGCGGGACACTGACTGACGGGGCTGGGCAGAATTTAGGCGACTGAACAGGGCAAGCCCCCTTTTGCCGTGCTCAGCAGTAGCAGATGGGTCAGTGGTGCCTGTGTTAGGGCCTCTCCTGAACAAATCCAAGTGTCTGCGCTAGGTGCGTAGCGGAAACGAGTGCCCGCAGCCTTTGGAGTTTCCTGCCCATCTCTTTCACCAGTCTCTGCAGCAGTGAGGTGATCAGCTGCTGAGGGTGGTCAGCATTTCTTGATGCTGAACTGCAATTATCATCTTCTTTGGTTGACTCTGGAAATGATTCTATTTTCCACTGAAGTGCTGCAGCAGGGAAGGCACTGTTTTATGGGAGGCAGGAAAATCTCACATATCACTGTAATTAGAACAAGCATTTCAGCAGCTTCAGACAACTGTCCAGTATCCTCATCTGTAGCAGGCAAATTTATAGTTTCAGTCTGAATTTATTCTTGTCGATGAGAGGAGCAAAGCCAGAGAGAACAGAAGGAACTCTGCGAGGGAGCACGCACAGTGCGCCTCGGACAGGCTGCTCTGAACTAACCCGGAGCGATGCTTTCTTCTGTGGACACAGTGAGGTCATTAGGTGGCTAAAGGTACCTTTTGAAACAGAGGTACATCTGTCACCTACCAAAAAGCATCTCACAAATACTAAGGAGAGCCTTACACTTGGTGGATGTTTCTCTGTGAAAATTTTGTCTTCCAATATGAGCAGGCTTTCCTAATACAACAGAAGATCACTAACAAGTTTTTTCCCTGCTTTTAGATAAAAGCTTTTGGATTATAGACTTGAGAAGACTGGAGGAAAAATTTTTGTGGATAGGTTGGGGTTTTTTTCTTCTTCTACTTTGCCTTTTGTGCTTCCTATGCCAGAAGTGTTCTTTTGCAAGTGTTTTATGAATAAGTGAAGGAAAGAGAACGCAAAGGAGAAATACCAAGAAAGGAGAAAGAGTTTTTAGGGTAAGCCTTTTTCTCACTAAAACAACTCAAAAAGAACAACAACGACAACAATTTTTTTCCCAGTTTTACAAAACTTGAAATGGATGCATTTCCTGTCAATGCTGCTCATGTTGGTGAATTTATGCATTGGAGGGACAGTCTGCAAACAGAAGGCCAAGGAGGGATGGGCAGCTTCTGGGAGAAGGGGTTGCAGTGCCATCACCTCAGATGGCCCCTTTGCCTTCCTCCAGTGATTAACAGGAGGTGGCTCCCTGCAGTGATTACTGTTTTAAGCAGCTTGGTCCAGCTTGGAACAATTACCCAGCTGGCTGGACACTGAGAGCACAAGCTCTGGGCTTTGCTTTCTTTGGGATATTAGCCGAAACCAGTGTGGTCCAAGATGACTGGAAGCCAACACTATTAAATATCATCTCTTATTTGGTTCTGGGAGACTGAAGATGCTGGTGGTTTCTGAGATCAGTTAGCAGTTCTTTCAGAAGAGGGGCCAGGCTGTCACATTTGCTTTGCTGCCTTTTACTGTAAAAGGTCCCCTACAGTGGTCTTTATGCATAGTTTGCCTGTTAACCCTTCCTGCCAAAGATTCAGCCAGTACAGACAGTGGCACTAATGCAGCAGGTTTGTTTGACATCAGGGCTAATTAGTAATTATCCAAATCTTGGAGCAAGCTTGCAGACCTGATTTTTTTTTTCTTTCTTTCTTTCTTTCTCCAAGCAGGCTAGACATAAAATTCCATCTGCCTAATTTGCAAATGCAGTTGGTTTAATTATGCATCCAAATTGGGAAAATGTACGCTCAAAAATATAGATAGATAATCCTATTCATGTAAAGTGATAATGCATAAACAAATTAGCTATATCCTCCGCAGTCTGCACCATCTCAAAACCCCCTCTGAGAAAAACTATTTTAAAATAAGAAATCCTTTCCTCCTGTGAGTTTACAGCAAATAGGACAGCCTATACACCAGTTTAGTTTGTTGTTTTGCTGCTGTTGCTCATGCAGTTTTGTTTTACGCAAAGGGATTATTTTCTTTGCCCAGGGATAATTCCTGCCAAAAAGGACCAGAACACAAGGGTTAGGTGCTGTGAATGTACCTGCTGCTACATTCAAGAAGTTTTCTGCCCCAAGAGGTGGCAGATGCAGGGAAGTGTGACAGAGCAGGGAGAGCTGAGGGAAGGGCGCTTGAGTGTGGATCGTGATAACGGATGATGAAGATAGCGGATGGAAGGCTGGATAATGGGCCAGAGAGCTCACCTGGGTGCATCAGGAGCCTCTGCTCTGCCTTGCCCTGAGCTTATTTATTGGCACTATAATAGCAGACCCTGGTACTGATTTTCCTTTCCTTGCACCCTGTTGTATTGTTTTGGCCAAAACCAACACACCCATGTAGGTCTCCTCACGATCATCCTGAGACTTGATTCCTAAAGCTCCAGCCTGGTGATGGTTCTACTACCTGCCTGGATCTGGTGCTGCCAAACTTGCGCTAATCTCCCTGGATGGTTGTGCCAGGCCTTGCTTTGTCCTCATGGTTTCTTCCTCTTCTTTTTACCCAGATGAGCAACAAAAGGTCGAATAGTTTCCGGCAAGCCATCCTTCAGGGGAACAGGAGGCTGTGCAGCAAGGCCCTCCTGGAGGAAACGGGGCTGAGCCTTTCACAGAGGCTGATCCGACATGTTGCCTATGAGACCCTGCCACGAGAGATAGACCGCAAGTGGTACTACGACAGCTATACCTGCTGCCCTCCACCCTGGTTCATGATTACCATCACAATTGTAGAGGCAAGTACCATAATGCCCTCTCTCTGGGAGCCCACGCTGCACTGCCAAAAGCTTTGCTGGGACATGATCAAGGGGGAGAGTGGGACCCAGATAAGGACAAGCATGAAGCTGATAGCCATTTTGGCTCACCTGTGGGTGTGTGTGTAAGTGGAGACTGTGATCCTGTCTGTTTCCAAGCATGATTATTACTCACTGAAACAGTTTGTATATGAAGTTAAAGAATTTGGGAAACTGTAGCAAAACTTTTTGAGGAGTGAATATCTGGACAGTTTTAGGGACACTGGTAATTCAAATAATGGAATTAGGAAAAAAAGTTCCTATACGGTTACCTCTGTTCTGTGAACGGAGAGAAAAAGGAGGGGAGAGAAACTGGATTAAATATTCTGACCTGCTCATCTGTAGCCCAGATGAGATTTTGGGACAGTTGCTGAGTGATGCGCTGGAATAAGCACAGAGAAGGATATAACATGGCACTGATCAGGAGGGTGCTGAGTTCCTCTGACTTAGTGGCAGGTGTGTTACAAAAAGCCACATACAACTATACCAGTGTGGTGCAGGTTCTTCAAAACACGGAACTCATACTGTGTGAAGCTGTCAAATGGGAGAAGAATTATTGTATATTTGACTTTCTTCTCTGTGATTTTGAGCTACAAAGTGCTTTTCAGCAAGAGAAGGCATTTGCTAACCAAGCAATCTTCCTGCTCTTCTAGGTTGCCTTTTTTCTTTACAACGGAGTGGTATTAGACAGATTTGTGCTGCAAGTCACCCATCCCTTATACTTGAAGAATGCATTACTTTACCATCCTCAGCTCCGTGCTCAGGCTTGGAGGTACCTAACCTACATATTCATGCATGCAGGGTGAGTACTTACAAACTGTGTAGACTCCCCACAGTTCAGGTTCCCCAGAGAGAGAGCGGAGGAGGAAGTGAGAGAACCAGCTCAGAAATAAGTTTTTAAAAATCAATTCTAAGTTGTGTATAAAAATCCGAAGTCGTTCTGGAATGTTGGGCAATGAGGGGCAAACCTTCACAGCTCTCTGAAGGGAGGAGGCTATATAAGGAACTTAGCAGATGCTGCTCTTCTCCCCAGCAGTGTTGGGACCACACCTTCCTCTTATGGTGCACTTCCTAGAGCGTGCTTCCTAAAACTCACTAGATCGAAGCCGAATGTTCCTCTAGAGGAGCTCTGCAAGTGGTAGAACAAGTCTGCAAAGATGCTGGACTGGTATTTAAAAACTACATGGTGTATTCTTGCTAGACTTCCTAGTTGAGGTTGGAAAAGTCAATTAATCCCTGTGCCTGTGGTATGTCATCACTTAGTAATGTTGTCCCTTCTGTAGGGACTGAGATAATGCCTAGAAGCCTGAGTCAAGATTGAACTCCCATTTTGTCCACACTGTACAAACACCAGTGTTCCTGAAGAGTTGACAATCTCGACTGACCAGATGGACAGAGAATGGTCCATCTAACGCAAAATGCAAAATGAAGGTGCACACTAAAATGAATCCTCCTTCATCCCATGGGAGGTATGTAGCAGACTTGGGAAGAGAATACAAGGCGTGGGGATTCTAACTCTGTGCTTCTCAACTGTGCTATTCCTCCCAAGATTCAAAGAGACTCAATTGTGTGATGTTTGTGATGCCATGGTGACGAGTGAGTGTCACAGGGAAGTTCAACTACCCCCTCTGAGTAGTTTCTCAGATCATTATCTTCACACATTCCTGGCAGATAATTGCAATTTTCTGTAGTTCTGTCATTGAAAAATCACAGCAACAAGCTTTTTAGCAGTAGTTTATAGTTTGAATCTGGATAAAGACCCTTTGTTCTTAAATAGAAAGCCTATATTCCCAACAGTCAATGTTCTCCTTTGAAAGGCCAGAAAGATCAAGCTGATCTTTTCGTTTTTCCGTGTCTCTGATGGAAGACGTGCTGATGTCTCTTGTTTGCCATGGAAAAACTGTGTCGGTGTGTAACTGGCCTTGAGCACAAGACATGCCTCAGATCTCTGGATAAAAATCGTAGGACAGAATGGACTCCACCCAAAGGGAGGTTAGGAAAAAGCTTATAGATGAAACTTCTGAACATGGCAACATCTGTATTTTGCATGCTAAATCCCTCCAAAAAGTCCATCATATATAGATGTCAGTCTGCGAGCGGGGACTATTTGGCTTAGAAATGAGACTGGTTATATAAAATGAGAATTGGAAGTCTCCATCGCTGAGGATGTAGGGAAGACTGCACTTGTAAAAAGAGAAAACACTGATTTTAACTACTGTTAGCTAATCTGTATCTGGGTTTTCTTGTGGTGGTGTTCCACTGTGTCACTTACGTAACTGCAGATTGCTTTGGGATACGTTCAAAGAGAAGCACCTGCACAAGGACAATTTTTGCAGCGTTTAAATGTCTTCCTGTGTCAGCTGTGGCATGCTTTCCTAACCTGTGCAAGGTCACCCTTTCCTGTAGCAGGCAGTACTCTGGCATTCTTCACACTTCCTGGCTGAAAACCATCTCGGGTTTATTTCACATCTGTGGCTGCCTCAGAGATGAACAGTGGGGAAGATGGTGTGCAGGAGACTCATTGTTTTTGTGATGGATTCCAAGTTCCTTAGCTACATAGCCTTCAAAACAATGGAGAGTCCTACTGGAACAATAAACACCATGATTTATCTGCAGTATCTGGAGTTAGGCTAAATGTTCATTTATTGCTAACTTCTGTGTGTTAAGCTCCTTTCATATCAGGAGAACAGATAAATCTTGAAGAGGTAATAATGTTTGTTAGTGGAAGCCCATCATTCTCCTCTCATTTTCAAATGAGAGGCTAACAGAATGCCATGGGGTCTATTGTTATCCTGTTTCCAGCTGAGACTTTAAAATGGTAATGTCAACTGCTCCTTAATTTTGTACACTCGCTGGGTCGGTTTTTTTGAAGAGCAAGTGACAGCCAGAAGGTGTCCGAGAAGACAGCAGTTGCTAATGCTTGGCTGGCTGTGCCTCTAGATGGATTCCAAAAATGCACGGGCTGTGTGTTGGTCCTGATGGAGGGAGCTTTGTCAGGGGTTGAAAAGGCAGGCAAAGTTGTAAATTCTGCCCTTCTGCTTTCATGGAAAGCAGACGTTGATTATCTGGGGCCAACGCATTTGTAACACTGCCATAACTAATGACTTGCATTGATGCTCAGTCCCATTTGTTTGGTCCTGGGGAAGGAGAAAGTCTTTAATAAATCAATGAAATTGTCATTTCAAGAATGATGCATTCAGCACTGGCAAAGGCTAATTATATTTTATGGGTGCTTATTGACTGTGGAGCCTTCAATGCTCTTAACACGATGGGGAGGAGAGGTGAATGGGATTGCTCCTGGAAAGTCTTTTAAGAACAGCTGTGAATCTGAGCAGTCACTTTAGAGTCTAGGCTAAACTTTGCCGAGTTCTTACAAAAGTTTCTTTGGAAAATAAGACCCAGTGTTTTGTGTGGAAATGTCAGGTGCCGCATCATGATACTGATTGTGTCAGCCAAAGCTTCTCCCCTCCTCTCTGTAAAAGAGAGCTTGGATGCTTTGACTCTTTTCTGTGATCTCAGTTTGACCTTTGCTGGTTGTTCCTAATTTAGTTCCTAAGTTCTGTGAACATGCAGGATCAGAACAGGTGTCAGAATATGCCCATGGCCAGTGGCGTCAAAAGTCCTGAGCAAGGTAATAAAAAAAATTAGTTACATGCAGCAGTTTCCCATGATGACAAATTGCAGTGCTCAGTGTCTTGTGCGGGAGACAAATTTATCCTTGGAGAGAAATTCAGTGGAAACAAACCTATTGATATATCCAGAAAGGACTGTTTCCTGCAGTATCATTTCTAGCAGGTTTTTTCCGGTCCAACTTGAAATTCTTGTTTATGAGACTTGAGACTGTTCTGTCATTACTGCATCTCACCATCAGCGCTTTTCTCTGATGTATATGGGAAATTGCTATGGTAACATGAAGAAAGACCAAAACAGTGAAAATGCATATAACTTAAACCAAAGATTGCTAGTAGCTGTCTGTGAGCAATCCTTTTCTTGTAC